TATTCAATTAAATTCAATCATTTAGCATTGACACTAAAATTAAAATCAACTTTTATATTTTGTTACATATATTTATAATAAAAAATATTCTAAATATGTGTTATAAGAGTATAGATTAGACTAACCCTTATTATTTTTCTAGTAATAGGTTTTGTTTTAATTAAAGAAAAATGGTGGCAAAAAAAATTTAAAGAGAAACAATGAGGTGGGAAATTTTTCTTACCACCTGAACAATTGCATAATATTAACAATAAACAATAAAAATAAGAGTTTTTCTAACCTTTGTTATTGTGTGTAAGTTAAAAATATATTAATTGTATTTTTTTATTAATTAGTATGAAAAAATAAATTTTAATTTTATCAATCATTAAATTAAAATTTCTACCAAAAAAATCATTAAATTAAAATTGATAAAATTAAAATTATGTACATCATTAATATTAAAAATAAAATTAATCTTTGTATTTTTCAATATAAATTAATAAAAAAATATAATTAATAATTTTTTAACTTATTCTTTTTAAACACGGGTCTGACAGACCCTAAAATTAATGAGGACTGCCAACCATTTACTACCCATTATTCAGTTTCAGTACCGCTGCCTTCCATATGCTACCGCTATTCATTTCATTATTTTCACCAATTGTTTTGTTTCATTTGGCTCATCTGGTCCCTGGTCTTTTCATCGTCTTTTATCAATTTTCCTTTCTTGCCCTTTTTCATTCCTCAATGCCTGCCATAAAAAGCATTTCACTTGAATCCCCTTCAGACAAAGACTTGCTGCTCAATCTCTCTTTTGACTTCCGCTGTGTTCACCATTTCATTTGATTTGCTTTCATCCCAACTTGTTACCTTCATTGTCTCTGCCCAGTCCTTTTTATCATCTTCTGCTATTCTCTGCCCCTCAACTCACCTCCCTTTTCACAAATCGCCTCATCTTTTCACTATTTTCATTTGATTTGCTTTCATCCCAGCTTGTTACCTTCATTGTCTCTGCTCAGTCCTTTTTATCGTCTTCTGCTACTCTCTGCTCCTCAACTCACCTCCCTTTTCACAAATCACCTCATCTTTGTACAATTTTCACCCTTTGTTTCATTAATTATCCCCATGTCATTTGATTTGTTTTCATCGTGACTTGTTACCTTCATTGTCTTTGCTCAACTCTTCCTTTTGATCATCGTCTGTGACTCTGCACGTCACCTCACCTCTCTGTACACAAATTTGCTCTTCCTCCCACAGTTCTCATTTTTCACCTTTGTTTAGTTTGGTTCTTCTGCTTCTTGTCTCTCTAATTCTGACCAGTTTTCATCCCTCTACACAAATCGGCTCACCCTGCTATTATTATCGGCTTTTGTTCTTCTGTTTCTTGTCTCTCCACACACCCAGAAAAAAAAAAAAAGGAAAAAAAAAAAA